AAAAATAATTTCATTTCGAAACATTAAAATGAACATATTACTTTTCATACAACTTCTTATTCTTTAAAAGGACAATGCATCTATTCCATTGCAAAATTAGCATCCATTTACCAGCCAATGACCCTTCATCAAACAATGATAAACTATTTATCTCAAGAACGATTAATAAGATCTGATAAAATAAACGTTACAGGTTTCGCATTGAATAAAAAACCTTCTCCAATTTTAGCGGTAAGCTTACTATATATTATTATCCCTTCGAAAAAGAGTCCAGAGCACATATTTGTCTCTCATTATAATCATTAGGTTGAACAATCTAATACCTTAATTACACATGATGCACCCCTTTACTAATTTTTTACCTATTACAACCCTTTCTTTTTTTTTATTTAATTCCGAGCAGCAGAGAAAAAATTAAAATCTTCAATCTAATTTTTTTTTTTATGTTCGTTCTGGGAGAGAGGGAAAAAAAAAAGGGAAAATGCATAAACGCTTATGGTGAAGAACAAGCCATTAAAACTGATTAATGTGGGTATTAGAGTGGGGAAAAAATTAATCCCTTTGTCCCTATCGCTGATAGCAGGCGTTCCTGTGTTCTCGATCATTTGTTGTGGAGGTTATCATCAGACCCGAGAACTGACATTTCTGCTGATAACCACCGACGCTTGGGACTTTCCAACAAATAAATTTGGACTTTCTTGTCCGAAAGAGGGATAATGAGAGGGAATTGCTTTCGTTCCTCTAAAGTTTGTTTTTAATTTATTTCCCTTTCCAAAATATCTAGCGAGTTTCGTTCGGATCGCTTTGTTATCAAGCATTTCGAAAGCTTGATATATCTGTTCATGTCGTTCGATCACTTATATCGATCCGCATGAACAACATAATTACATATTGCAAACATGAATTACATAATTACAATTTTCAAATTATGAATAAAGTTTTGAATACGTGTCATTATTTTTTCTCGCTACAATTTTAGATTAGGTTTCTATTTTCAAATTAAAAAAAAAAGACTTAAAGTAATTGATTTCCATATAGTAAATTCAAAACAATTTGTTTTAATGAATACATTTATCTGCTGGTACAGTGACCTAAGAAATGGTAATCAAATAGGCATAAGATTGTTTTTCGAAAGTCTGTCCGTCACACGAAGCAACGTATTTTAGCAAATAATGTGCATTTTTATAACTCTTGAGTTTTCAGCAATTATTAATGATTATTAGATCAAAGTCAGCCTATTTTTAGTCAGCGCTCTCTATGCTAAAATGGCTCAAAAGTCTGTGTACAGAAAAGCTATGATTTTATGAAAAAGATAATAATTTATTATTATTTTTTTAAAAACATTTATGAAGTTACTCCAACGCTGCCTTATATATATATATATATATATATATATATATATATCTTCAAACTATGCTCCATTAATTGCAGTCAAAATATTCTGTCCGTGAAAATATTTTGCCCNCTATATATATATATATATATATATATATATATTGTCCGTACTAAGACCCAAATAATTCTTAACGATAAAATGGTTTGTAGAGTTTAAAAGTATAGCTTTTCCTCAATTGTAAGGCACTTAAACTGAGGCTTTTTCATTTTTCGCTGGTTAAAAAATTTCGAAAAACACCATAAAGTAGTAAAATGATCTAATTGCCGTCAAGTCAATCGTAAGAGATGTTTTTTTTCTTCCACGAAGTGTGTATAATGTTGGTTGGGTTTACTTAAAAAGTCCCTCAGCAATGGAAGTTTTGCCCAATACTGGACTCAAGTGTTCCATTGTTTCTGTTCGAGAGTCAATATTACAAGTTTACGCAGATTAATGTTATTGCCTCAAATCCAATTGTTTTTATAAGCTGTCAATAGAAAACGTCTTTCTGTAGGCATTTTAATAATTTTTCTTAACAAAAGACCAGCAGATGTTTAGAATTTATGAAAACTGGTAAAAAAAAGTACCTTTTCCTTATAAATCTGATAAAATAATATTTTTTAATACTATTAATCAGTGTTATTTAATTCATTTGGAATAGTGTCATTTTGGGATCAAAACTTTCAGGGTACCCTTTACAATGAACCATAGCAGAATGTTTTCTAAATAGACTCTTATATTGGTTTTTTCCACGATAATATTTTCTTCCAGATTCTCGAAGACCCTACCTTATTCCAACGAGTTTTACTCTCAGAGACGATTTCCAACTTCTTTTTTTTTTCTTTACTTTTCCCTATGAAAAAGGGATAATCTCTTCGACGATGAAGAAGTTATGAAAAAAGAGAGAGCCATTGAAAATGAACTCTCTTCAGCGTCCGTTTCACTTTTCTTTTAAAGGCAGTTTGCCCTTATTTTTCTTGGATCTAAGAGACATCAGCTGCAGTTGTGTGGATAGGGCACACCAAAGTACCCACCTAGCTTAACGAGTTTCAATATAAAGGGTTTCCTCTTCTCTTCCAAGTGGAGATTTCTTTTTGTTTGTATTCATGGTGTGTGTGGACCATTTCGCGAGAGGATATCGAAAAAAAACTTTTGTTTATACTTTGTCGATCATAAGACGGACAAATCACTTTTAGGCAGAAGTAATTTCGCGTAGTGGAATGTTAAACAAATCAGGAATATCCTGACTGTTGCGACACCTTGAAAGATTATTACTACGGAAAATATTTATATTTCCATGCAAACACTCAATTCAAAATGTTTATTGGATGTAAGTAATGACAAAATGATAATTTTTTTTGAGGATATAGAAATACTTTTACAGGTTATAATGCATATCTTATAAAATTAAAGTATGCATATGAAATTACCCGAAAATATATCAATTGTGAGCACTGAGAGTGAAAGGTTGATTGCTCTTGTATACTCTGTCTGAATAAATCATTTAAAACATTTGAGTACCATGACTTTTAAAGGAAATGATACCTGAAGTATCATCTGCCAATCCAGCTTCGCAAGTTCTGAAGATATAGTACACTTAAAAAAAAAGCATGCTGAAAACTAAGTGTGATGATACTATCACAATACACCCAAAATGTAACATTTTGGCATTCGTCTAAGTTTATAATGTTACTTTTGTAACGGTGCCTTCCACCTAGTTTTTTTTTTAACTGCGACCGTGAGCTTGGGTAAGCCGGTTGCCCGGATGGACGCTATCATACGATTTGTGTTGGTGCTCAGAGTACGTGAGCGAGAACCTTCAAGATTCGCTTACCTTCTCTGCAAGCTCTGGAGATAAAAGCTTATTCTCTATTTTTCATGATTATTCTCATGTTACTAAAATTGCGCATTTCTGCGAGTTTAGTAATTTGAATAGGTTTACATTTTTGCACATAGATTTTTTGAAAAACTAACAGCAGAGCAGGAGACACGTGTTCTTCGAAGCTAGAGAACAAAATTATGGATTCGTTCCAGTGCTTTCTGAGGTATCGTACCTCTAATTTGTGATGTTGATTGAAATAAAAGACAAGTGATCCTGAAGATGTTAGTGTCATCATTTCGATTTTTTTCGACTAGTGAACCTGGAGTTTAACTACACTATACCACGTGCCTGAGTCAGCCCCCACGACATTAAGTTTTATGGAATGTGTGTTTCTCCTTCGTTTAAATATTTACTCGCAAATTCCAAGCGTGTATACTATTTAAAACCTTTATTTATGCAAAATTTCTGAAAATACGTACTGCACTGAGAAAAAATGAATATCACATAGGTGAGAAAATCATCGAAACTACCAAAATAGGGTAAATAATTACAAGTTTCAGACTCTATAGAAACACCAAAACGATTGGTAATTTTCACCGAAACGTTTTAGTATTGACTTTGGTTAAATGAACCATAAAATATAGTGTTACAATGTGTGATAAAATTTAGTAAATATGGCAATTTTCGTAATTTTATCTTGATACTTTAGAACATGGAGTAAAAGCCATTTATTCGGTTAAATTTACTTTTCACTTTTACATTTTTTATTCAATGTGTGGTAACAAGAACGATCATTTTGAAAACCAGAATTTCCGGTAAATCATTAGTATATGAACATAAAGATGACCCAAATGAGTGGTTTATAAATACATATTTTGGTTTTGTTACCAGAAATGTGGTTGTTTTTACAAGAAATCTCTTTAACATGTAATTTCATTGGATTTTTTTCCCTGGTACTTATTTGCTTTTATATATATACGCAGTATTTTATGAATCAGATGTATAAAACTAAAATAGTACTTAAGGGTGCATCTCTTGACTAATAAGAGAGAAATGTTTTTTTCGCAGTTTGAAATCATTATTTTACAAATGGATGCTTTATGAATTGATCATATCACTTAATCGAGTACCTGACAATATATCAATACTTAACGCACTAAATTTCACACGCAAGGAAAGCACATTCAGTATCAATCACCAATCTGGTTGCAATTTGCGGTTGCATACAAATAGATTTTTAAGATGTAAAATTTTTTGCTTGCCTTTAATCCGAAATTTTCGAACAAATAGGACGCCAAGTTTTATTTCTGAATTAACGGAGAAGTCATAATAGGTTGCTTTAAAAAGTTTTATTCTTGCGATTGAGATGAAAATTAGCTTTCTTTATTTCTAAAATTTTGTACCAGTTCAAAAGTATTATTTTAAATTAATCTAATTCTTGCAACTAAAATTTTACTTTTAAAAAAAATCAAAAATGCTCATAATTTAAAGTGTTCGAAATGAGCACTTTTCCAAAAAAACAATTACAAACACATTTCTGCAATACTTTTCCAATTTCTATTAGATTAGTAAAGGACACTGAAGGTACCTATGTAAATACTTTACTTTGAATCTACCACAAGTAGTTCACATCATAACAAATCTTCGGTTTCAAAAATTGTATTCTTTTTTTCAAAAGGCAGTATATTAACGAAGAAATGAATGGCACTCATTCCAAAATAACAAGACTGCCATAAGATATCAGGCATTTACTTTTTTGATAAAGTGGCAACTTGTGTTGATGTGTGATTGTTTTTCTCGTTACAGGGCAACAGTATCACTTACGTGCTTTTCATTCTGCTTTTGGGCATCGACCACCCTTCCTTGATCCTAGGTTAGTAGATCCACTAAGAGAATGGGAACATATGAGAAGAAAATCCGAATGGGGTATTGAGTTGCCTTTAAGGATACCTACTGGAGGTAATTTTTATTTTAATGCTATAAAAAATTGCTTTAAATGGTACAAAAAAGGTATTATTTTGGGTTTGATGGTGTGCGCATCTTATTTGGACGTCATCACACTTTTCAACTGTGTTCAAGAATAATAGTAAACAGCTGGTACTTTATAGCCCGCATTAGTTTGAAAATAAGCTTGCTATAAGCTTTATTTCTTTTTATTTTCATCAACAGGCGTTTTTAATGTATTTACATAATGATAATTTAAAGTATTTTTATATTGTTTTTATTATTAACTTATAATGACTGTCTTGACGGTGATTTTAATATAAATATGGATACTGACGAAGGAAAATTATTTTGTGGCGTCTTGAAGCACGTATATAGACAGGACCGATCCGACGACAATAGAACAAACATCAATTAAGACAGTTTTTTCAATAAATGATTTGAAATGTTGTGGAATTTATCGGAGTCAATCCTCCAGGAAAGTAAAAAAGTATTTAACCAATGGATAACCAGTGATCGTAATATAGTGATCACAATTTTTTTTCGTTAATTTTAAGACACTTATGTATTTCAATGCATACAAAAATCATCTTTTATTTATTTTTATTTTATTTCATCAACTTAATTTCATGTAAAGAATCTACCTTTGTCCGGCTGCGAAACCCTAAATGACCGAACTTCTTTTTAAAGAACCCCGATTTAATAAATAAAGCTCATAAGGAATGGTAAACATAAAAAACATTGCTCATACCTATGGAACTATTCAATGGGTGGAATTAAATTAGTTTTTTAATCGTTTCATTAAATAAATAATCTTAAAACTAATTGATATGTCAGACAGTATAATTCGCAAGTTTAGAGTGGCATCAAGTTAAATTGAGAATTTGGTTTTTGTTTACTCATAATCTAAACATGAAATAACTTGAATTATGGTATTTCGTTGAAATGAAAACCAAAAAGAACTGTTGTAAGCATAGTTATCAGAGAAGCACATTTCTTTATGGTTCAATTTGGTTATTTCTTTGAATTGCAGAGCCTGATGCAAAGCACCAGTGTGATTATCATTAGTATTTAGAAGAATATTACTATCTTTTTACTGGCATTTTGCCTCAATAATTTCATAGAAGGAACTGAAATATTAAATGAATAAGGATTTGAATATAAATATAGTTATAGGTATCAAAAATCATCAGTGGTTTAAAAAAACTCTCAGTACCCTTCAATCAGCCCCGGAACCCCAGGCCCTGTGACTATTTATGGGCTCTGTAGCCTCGAAACCCCAGGGTTTCGTGGAACACATTTTGGGAACCGCTGCTTTAGAGATCTCCAGGTTATCGCCTTTGCAAATTTTTATTTTTAAACAACAAACTTAACAACGAAAAAAATAACAGAGAAGAAATTTGAATCGACGGAATTGAAATATTGCTTTAGATATACACCCAAAATGAAACAAATTTGAAATTAAATTTTTACAAAATCATTACAAACAAAAGGATTCAAAAAGGAAAAAAAAGTGTCAAGCCTTTGACAGTTTAAGCTATAAACTAAACAGAACTATAAAAATTCCAATTTAAATATTTGTTAAATAAATAAAGCTTAATATTATGCTAGTTTAGCACAGTTTCGTAAAATACCTTTCACTTATTTTTTCCTTAAAACTATATGTTAAATTTGTTTTTAAATCTTAAACATTTAAAATTATTTAATATTAATTATGTTGTAAAAACAGTTTAATTGAATTTTCAACAAAGGAGATGTTCAAAATTTTCCATGAAAAAAATCAGTTAATACAAAATAATTTTAAGAAATAATAATATGATATCGAGCAAGAAATCTCAAATAATTGAAAACGTTTTTTGTAATGAAAATAACATACTATATTATGCTCAATTTTTACAGTTGTTGCCCTTTCTTTAAAAAAAGAAAGAAAGAAAGAAAAGTGAGAAATCTTTAGAAAATTTCTTTGTAAATAATACCTTTTTCACAAATATATTGTTCAGATATTTCTAATCGATATTTTTTTAGTAGTATAATGAATCATCAGTCATGAATCGATAGCAATATATGCCAAAAAGCAATCACATCTATCGTAAGTATCTATAAAACTAAAATAACGATTATTTATAGATTTATTTATGTACAGGAATTTTTCGAAAACTACAACTCACTCTAGAATTCAAAAGTTAAAAAAAAACACTACTTTTTTAAAACATTTTCATAAACTTATATTTTTTTCTTATATATTTTTAGAAAAAACTTCTTTTAATGAATTCAGTTTCTTAATCTTTCAAAACGCAAAACTTTCACCTATTTTTGAGCTTTCATTCCCAATAGAATAAATTCACACTTCTTTTTGGAACAATAAAATTAACAAATAAAAAATACGAGTAAATAAAAGTAATATAAAAAATGTGCAAAGAATGTTTTCCCGTATGTCATGGTTTATGTGGATGAAAAATTCCCTCATGAATATTGAAAATAAAAAAAATACCATTTTGTTTACAAACATTCTGTGTTTGAAAAAAAACTTTTAATGGATCAGTTTTTTGTGTGTATAAATCTTATAAAAAACGTTTAAAAAAATAAAAAATCCATATCTTTTCTTTTTCAGCTCTTGAAGATCTAGTTGATGCTGAGATCATATATCATTTCAATTTAAAGTTTACATTATTGATATACATAAAACTTAATTTACGCATAAATAACTGCAAAAAAATTATCCAAATCCACAAATTAGTTAATGACATAAAATAAAAATTATGTAATAATATATGAAAGTTATTTATAGATTTTTAAAAAACAAGTTATTACTCTTTATTAGGCTGTAATAATATTACAAATATTTTTTACCATATTTAAAATTTCAGTCTATAAAATGTTATCACTGTACTTACATGATTAGCGAACTTTTCAGTCAAGTTGAAAAATAGTATTTAGTTTTCCCATATTGGGCATCAAGTGTAATTTTTTGTGGGGGGAAGGGGTTAAAAAGATAAACTTTTTAAAATGATAAATATTAAAAGATATATATAATTTTGAAGTTCAAAAATACTAAGTTGAGGATATAAAGTAACTGTATGAAATATTATGTTAAAATGTAATGATCTCTTGGAATCTACATAAAAACTTTAATTCAACCCAAAATTATCATGCTTAAAGATTGGATAGAGATACTTATTTGCAAATAAAATTATGGTTTTTCTGTTGACTATTCCATAAGAGTTAGGTGTTGCTTTTCATTACTTTTCTCGCTATTACCCTACATTCTGAAATTTATTTTTGTACTTGAAAAATAAAATTTAGCTTTAATATTTATGCTTTTAAAAAAATTAAAAGTTATCATTTTAACACGAAAAAAATTCGAATTTTGGTACATTTCGGAAGACCTAGATTAACAAAAAATTATTTCTTATCTGATTTAAAGTAGGAAAAAATCCTACTTTAAATGTTATCAAACTATAAATTATTTGGATGAATGTTATTAATTTCTTTTGGAAGTTTTGTCAACTTGAAACTTGTGACGGTATTTATTAATGAATTTATTATTTCTACATGAAAACTAGTACATTAAAAAAAGTACTGTTTCAAATATTATTATTTTTTCATTAAGAAATGAACTCTAAAATTCCAGACTACGGTCAGTGACCGGTAAGAAGTGTTTCAGTTAATCACAGTAAAAATAAATCTCTTTCCGTACATGAACATAAAAATACAAGTCAACCCATGAATTGTTTCCAACAGAATATATAGTCATTGCTGGTAAATTAATCTTATGCTCGTAAAAACTGTCTACAGTTCGAGTCTTGGCAATGTTTGAGACTAAGGCAATTTGTTTGTCGAATCAACGTGATCCGCGGAACGAGGAAAAATAGTGTAGTGCTGCCATCTGTTGAGAAGTGAGAGAATTGCGTGTTTGTTGTCTGTGGTCATCACTGTAGAAGGAGTGCGAGAGAGACGTACTTTGACACTGACTGTGTTTGAACCCGGGGCCTTTGAGTTCGTAGTCTGATATTGTAATCACCATGGAAAAAGGGTGTACGCCGGAATTGAGTTAGGAAGCTTTATATAATAATCATATAAGTTAACGTTCATTCAGTAATTTATAAAATTATTTATAATTTCAAAGATAAATATTTCTTAATATATTTGTTATTATAAAAAAGGGGCTCTAAAAAATTACATTCGATGAATTTCCTTATTATCAACACATCATTATTGACATAATTATCGTAAAAGAAGTTGGTATTGTTGACTATACCACGTAATAAAGGTTTTTAAATATTTTCATTTAATAAAAAATTGATCCGTTCAATTTGCAGATCCACCAATCACCGGTACAACCGCTCACCCATACGTCCCTCGATCCACTTCCTTCGTTATTTCCTTTATTCACTCGCTATAAATCAAGAACCATTCAGAGTAATAGATGCCAAAGTAATGCTCTAAAATAAGTATTGAATTATTTTAATTGCTATTTAATGATGATAGCTTCGTGTATTCTTTTCCTATACCCCCACCCTCGATTTATAACCCCTATGCTACATAATTAAATGCGTTACCCAATTCCTTCTTTCATAATTGTGTTTAAAATTTCTTGAAGTTAAATGTATGCTACAAATTTAATTATCTTTAAACGTTTGATTTTATGAAAATGAAAAATTCTTCTGAAATTTCTGAAATTTTAAAATCGTAAAAAGATACTTTTTATTTAAATTTAATTTAACTTCAGAAAGACCCTGAATTATTTGAAAACATTTTGCGAAATAAATTCGACGAAGTAAATCAAAAGAACTTACTCGTAAACTCAAAAGAGAATCCATGAGCCATAGAAAAAGCGAAAGGAAGCAGAAGAAAAGAAAAAAAGAAGATTCGATAACTAAGTTAGTGGTATAACTTCACCTCCAGTCAATCCTCAGAACTAACCTGCTTTAGTTTTCCGTTCACTTTTCTTCCTCAAACTTCCATACCAAACTGATCTAGCAAACTGAAAAAGTTCAACAAAAAAACTAAAAACC